AAAGCACCATGGATTCAGTACCAAGTGAGATAGATCCATTCCTAGCCCCTGCCCATGTGCCACCAAGTGTCTGGCAGGAGATGGACATTTAGCAACTCTGCAGCTGTGGTGAGGGCCTTGAACCTGTGGGGATCAAGGGAATCTTTCCTGGGGACTTGGAGTAAAGCTATGGCCTAAGGGGGGAGTGGAGGCTGGCCAGGAGAAGGGTGGGCACAGAGAACATCCAGACCCTAAGGAGCCCCACAGGAAGGGCTCTGTGGTGCAAGGGTGGTGATCAGAGAAGGAGGGACAGGACTGGGTGGGGAAAGAGGGGCTTGGAGACCTCTGAGCTTAGCAGGAGGCACATGGTGTCAAAGTGAAGTGCCAGGTCTTTGACCTGTGAGCACAGGAAGAACAATAAGTAAAGATAAATGGTCACATTCATATGGAGAAGGACCACTCTGTCTCCTGTGTGGAGGAAGAATGACATATGGTGATCTGAGAGAAGGAGACCCCAGTCAGGGGCTCGATGGCATACAGGTGAGAAGGGGGGGGGTGAACAGGCTCTCGGGGTTCAGCAGTGAGGGAGGATAAGGGGAATTGGAAATAGTGTAAATAAAATAAGGCTTGATCAATGGGGGAGCCATTAAAGGTGAACTGAGGTCAAAGTGACCCTAGGGTTTTTTTTTTTTGGGGGGGGGGGTTGTCTTCCTGAAGTAGGGATGGACGAAGGGAGCAGGTCTGGCCAGGAGAGGCAGCTCAAGCATTCCATTTAGACACATCAACTTCAGGTATTAAGAGACAGTGAAATGGAGATGCCAGGTAGCAGATTGACACAAGAGTTTGCAGCTAAAAATAAATCCAGGTTGATAAGAGTTATAGTCACCCTTTTAATCTGATGCAGCCCCGAGGGTGGTTCTAATTCTAGCTGGGATAGCGTTGTGAGGGGGTGATACACCTAGAACTTTCCATCGCTAGACCATCTTTCTCTGTGGCTGTGACCTTCACAATTTAGCCTTTCTGTGCTCCCCTTTCCTCCACTTAAAGCTGTGATGGCTATGTCTGTTTCAGTCTCGCCGGGAGCACATGTTTGAGGATTCATTAAACTGAAAATAAAACATGTGGGGCACTTTGGAAATAAGAACTATGTTAAAACAAGGAGTTATTATAGTTGTGCATAAGCCAATGAAAAGCAGAAATACAGCCCCAAGGCTCAGTATCGATCTTGGTCCCSGGTGCTTCCCGCAGCCGAATAAATCTGACATTCCTCCCCAGGAGTGCAGGTGGAGCGGATGGCAGGTCTCCAGCTTCCAGCCTCCCTACCCTACTCCAAGGTTATGTCCTTTCTTGGCTCAGGCGGGCTCTAGCACCCCCATCCCTCCCCGGGCTGTGCTGGCTGCCCTTCTGACTCATGCTGGTTACGGGGAAGATTCCAGTTGTGAGGTTGGAAGGTGGCCAAGAGTAGATGCCCTCCCATCAAACTGGGGACAGGTTCCCCACCCCCCCGGAAAAAAGAGATCGACATTGTAGAACAAGGGATTTCAGGGCATCCAAAGGAGATGCTGTCGACAGAGTTTTTGAAATTTAGGATGCATTAGGGGTTATGGGATTTGCTTAATTCATTCATTCGATCACTGGATAAGTATTTATTGAGTGCCCACTGAATGTTGGGCTATGAGGTAAGCCGGGGGATACAGGAGCAAAACAGATAATACATTTGTTCTCTTGGAATTAAGATTGCATTGAGGAAGAGATGCTAAACACGTTTGGTGTGTTGGCAGAAACATGAGGAAGAATGTGCCCAGAACTTAGGGCACAAAGGGCAGGGACAAAGGATTGTATAGTGCAGGGCTTTGTCAGTCATGGGAAGGAGTTTGGGTTTTTGTTTTGTTGTTATGGCAAGTCATTGAAAGCTTTTCYGATTCCAGTGATTGGTAATTCTGTTACAAAAATATTGCTCTCACTCATGAGTAGGATAACTAACTGGCTGTAGAGGAAAGAAAAAAAATCAAGAAAATTAGTAAGGAAATTACTGTGGTCCTTTGGGTGAGAAGTGATRGTCAAGTGGACTGGGTGGTACCCACAGAGTCGGCATGAAGTAGATGCATTCAAGGGCACTTGCAAGTGGAACAAACCGCTTGCTGAGGCACAGGAAATGCGGGGTAAGGAAATGGAGAAACCGAAGATGATCCACAGGYATCTGGCTTAAGCATCCATGTGGATGAATACCTTTACTGCAGAGTACAGGTTTGGAGGGAAAGTCTGTCATACCCAGGGGTCATCTGSAAGAGAGGTCCAGTATAAAGCTGGATGTATAGTGCAAGTCCTGAGAATACTTGCAGGCTGGGCTTGCACCTGTGTATTCTCAGTGGAGGACTGGACAGATGTGAGAACCTAGGGAAGGGCTCAGATGGTGATAGCACAAGGTCTCATTCTGCACCCTAAAAAGCCCTGGTATAGATGCAGGAATGACCAATGGGGACAGGAAAGCCAGGAGGGACAGCACTACAGGAGCCCACAGAAATTGCTCAAAGGGCCCCTAGGGGAGGCTTGGAGGTGACTGCTGAAATGACAAGTCTATTCAGTTAGCGAAGCTGACAGGCTGATTGGGGCGGGTTGAGGAACGAGTTGGAGGTGAGGAAGCAAAAATGACATCCAGGGATGACTCTTTGGAGAAGTTTTGCTGTCAAACTGGACAGAGCAATAAGAAAGTGCTGATTGCCTGGGTTTCTATGAACAGAAGAAACATTCTTTGTATCATTTCTAAGCCTCTCTCCTGACTCAGGTCATGACATTGAATACCTAAAACATTTCCATGATAAAATACACACAACCAAATTATGGCAGCACAACTCACAACTGGCTGTATCCCAGTTGTTGGCTGAGAGTGTGGTTCAGCTTGCTGGGGTGCTCATTCATCAAATATTGTTTCAGTGCTGCTATGTGCTAGGGGCGTATGTCCTGGACACTGGGAGCAGCTGTGGGCAAGATTACTGTCCTCATGGAAAGGATAGACATGGAATAAGCGACTTCCAGTGTAGTGAGCTTGCAGCTAGAGCAATATTATATTCTCAAGAACAGTATCAGCAGGGTCCTGTATGTCCTGGACACTGGGAGCAGCTGTGGGCAAGATTACTGTCCTCATGGAAAGGATAGACATGGAATAAGCGACTTCCAGTGTAGTGAGCTTGCAGCTAGAGCAATATTATATTCTCAAGAACAGTATCAGCAGGGTCCTTGCCTGGTCTACAAGCTAGCAAGTCTCAGAAAAACTGAGGACAAATAAGTGGAGGGGAACATTAATGAGGCTTGAGTTGGGGTAGATTGGTCCAGACAGAGGTAAAGGCCAGTCTGTCCCAAAAGTCAGGGCTGGAGGAGGAGTGGGGTGAGAGGTAGGTGAGAGGCAGTGGGGTGGACAGGGGTAGTGGGGYGGACAGGGGTCAGATGTTCAGGGATGAGGGCTGCAGCCAGGACTCTGAGCTTTCTCAAGAGAGTATCATGAAGTGTTCTGAGTTTGTGTTGTGTGGGGGTGTGTGACAGTGTGGCCAGACTTGTTCTAAAAGAACACTTGGTGTCTGTCTGRAGAATAGGTCTGTAGTACAGAGAAGGTGCAGGCAGAAGGTGAAAAGTTCTACCAACCTTATTTAATCAAATACAAATGAATATTTGGGAAGGGGTCAGGGGTGGGCGGGGGGCAGAGTAGTTTTCTGCTTGTCTCTATCCCAAAGCCTCATCCAGTTCTCTTTCCCTTTCACCCCCCTCTGGGAAAACCCAACAGGCTAGTGCTGCGGGCCAGTTCTCAAGGGGTGGGGACAGAATCAACACTGAGGGATACCACAGGGTTAATGCAGGGACAAGAATGTAGAAATGATAGAAGGCTTTCACAGGGGACTAACAGCTGTGGGCCCCTAGGGAGCATAGAATGCAGATATGTAGTAGGTGCATAACTTTGGACAAGCAGAGCAGAAATTAACTCAAACTCTGTGGTGCATAAAAAGCATCAGGGAGCCTGTTAAAAAATGCAGACTCTTGGAGACCCTCCTAAGGAATGCTGATTCAACACATTGGTTCAACACATAGCTAGCAATCCTATTTTAAAGAAACTCTCTCCAGTCTTCATCAAGATGATTCTGAGCCGAGTGATCCGACGACCTCTCTTCTGAGAATGCCTCAGYGCTGGAATCCTCTTGGCCTTCTATCCTCAGTTCCCTCAACTATCTTGCACCAGCCAGGGCCTGAAAGCTGGTGTCTGCCCTGCATTGAGATGTGAATAACCCACATTCCCGGCTCTGGCGTCCTGACTGCCCAGCGGGCCGCACGGCAGCACATAGCCGCCAGGGGGCGCCAGAGGCCTCAGCTCCMGCTCTCCAGCTTCTCCGCCCGCGGACGCCGCGCCCGAGCCGGCGAGCGAGCCAAGCCAGAGCGCTGTGGGCTCACAAAGCGGCCGGACGCGCGGCGGCGGCGGCTGGTGGCAGGAGCGTCGGGAAGCCAGGCAGAGATCAGCTTTCTCTGCGACCGCGCCAAGGAGCTCGAGCAACTCGGACGCGGGGACCAGGGCCGGCCCCCCAAGGTACGTGCCCCGCCGAACCCAGCTCCCCAAGTTGGCGTAGTTGGGACCTTCCTTGCCCACCCGGAGGGATGGCAGAGTCAGGGCCTGGGGGTATCTCCGCACGCCCCTCTTACATCCGAAACCGCTGGGCTGGCGAAGCTTTCCTTTCCCTTAGCTAGGGACTGGAGACCCCAGTGGCGGGCATCCACCCCCGCTTCCAATTTTGCCCAGAGCCTGCGCTGCTGCTGGAAACCCTGCTCACCCTCTCCAAGCCTCAAAGCTGTGGGCACCGTCTGTGCGAGTGCGGCTTGCGGATCCCGGGCTCCGGGTTTTTGAGGAGGGGTACCCACACTCCTGACCCGAGAGCAGTATTCTGTGGGGCACCCAGAGAACAGGTGAGAGGGGTCCTCTGTAGTTTGCTAGCTGCACCTAATTTATGYCCCAGCCTCTGCATTTGTAGCCCAGTCCCCATGCGTGACACAGGTCCCAAGGTCTCTAGCTCCGYGGAAGCGCCCCAGGTGTGCTAGGGACGACCCGGTCCCCGCTGTGAGGTCTCCACCTCTACGGCTGGGGCCGGTTTCCGAAGCGCTCAGACGCGGGGTCCCCGGGCGAGAGGYTCACGGTCGCCCTAGGGACTCAAGGGTCTGTCGTGCCCCTGCTCCGCAGATGCCAGCGATTGCGGTGCTCGCGGCGGCCGCCGCGGCGTGGTGCTTCCTCCAAGTCGAGAGCMGGCACCTGGACGCTTTCGCCCGAGGCGCGGGCCTCGACAACGGCAATTTCCTGGACAATGACCAGTGGCTGAGCACCGTCTCTCAGTATGACCGGGACAAATACTGGAACCGCTTCCGAGACGTGAGTACTGCTGCTGCTAGATCCTGCGGGGCAGGGGAGGGGTCTCTGGGAGAGGAGGGCYCTGGGGCCTGGTGGGAAGGTTGTCAGGTGCAGACCTCCCACGGAGGGCGTCAGTGGGTGCGTCTTGCMGGAGAGGAACTTTAAAGGGAACTTTGAAGGCTTGATGCTCTTGCCCGTTACCTGTTGTTCAGGTGTATGTATTTGTAGCACTGGGGCAGGTGATCGCACTAATATACAGCACAAACCCAAGCAACTGTGGAGAGACAGACTCCCTAAGCTTCTGAATTCTCCCGATGGCAATGACTGACTTTGCCAAGCCCAAGGGAGAAGCTTCCTGGGGCAGCAGTGATTTGGACCATTTTTGGGGTGTATTAGAAAATTTTTTACTGGAGAGGTTAGGCTTGGGGATGAGCCCAGATAATTTATTTCGGAACCAGTTATGGATGGTATGAGAGGAGTCATGGTGGAGRGCTGCCCTGACAATGGGCCTGATAAAATATTGGGAAGGACCATGGAGGTTTTGACCCTTTGAATCTTTAGGGAAGGGGGAAAGAGAGSAGGTGGCCCATGGAATTGGCCCAAATCCCTGAAGGAGAAGCCTGGGAAGGAAGAAACTCACTCCTGGACTCAGAAGCACCTGTGCTACCTGTTTCTGCCCCAGGATTGGCTGCCACTTCCCAGGTGTGCCCCAGAAGATGTGGGAGCAAGAGGCACCAGTTCCCTCTTTCAGCAGATGGCATCCCTTCTGTGTAGTGGGAGCTTCTGCCAGCTCCTTCAAAGACTGCCCCAGGTGGCTGGGGCCATGCTCTTCAAGGGGACTTGGAAGTGTGATATTTTATGGTATTTAACATTAGAAGGTTTTGTCTCTCCTATATATGCCTTAAATATTGTAAAATGTCTAAYACTTAACAAAAAGAAAATTTTTATGTTCAAATGCATTGTTTTGTTTCTGGAGCAGTTTTAGGTTCCATTAATATGTTTGYTAAATTACTGTTAAACTARTATTTTTAGCAGCATGCATGTGTTTTTAAATAGCTTGATCCATACCACATAGCCCTCCGTTTTGTCATAGGCATGTTTATAGGTTCTTYGAGGTGGGAGATAAGTGGAGGTCTTCTACTCATCTCCACTGGATTCCTCATAGTCCCATTTCCAGTATCCCTGGCAGGGAGAAGGTGTAGGGAATTGAATGAATGTCAGACGTTTGTTTCCTTGTGCTTTCTAAAGAGCATCCCCCTCAGGTCCCATTTTAGAGCAGCAGATGGACTCATAGCCTTGAGTGGGGTTTGCTTATCTCTCTATTCCCCATTCTTTCTTTTTCCCATAGTTGATGGTGGGCTGCTTCTCCTAGAAAGGGACCTTGGAGCACTTTCATTGAACTTCCACAGTTATTTGGGGTACTACTTTTGTAGCCGATATACTCCCGGAAGTCCTCTCCCACTCCACCACATGTTCTGGCCTGCTCTGTTAACCATCCTTGGGCCCCTTTTCTGCTCAGATCTGAGGAGCCCTGCACTGACTACCTTTGACTTATGACTGAAAAAGATGCCCAAATCATGAAGCTTTTGTTTGTTGACACACCTAGGTAGAAATATTTTTGCTTGGTGCTTTTGGTTTGTTTTACCAGTTTTAGATAGTTGGAAAGGGCAGATGCTAAACTCTGCTAGAGCTGGGCAAATTGGGCCAGGTGTAGAGGTGAAGGGCTACCTTTGCCGGTACCTTRATTCCCAGAGCAGGGGTGGAATGGTGGGAGTGCCTTGTGCTTGTTGGGATCTTTGGATTGTGGAAAAGTCTACCCTGCTTTCGTGCTTCTTKAAGGTTTCTTTCTCACGGTATCTTAAATGTGACATTCTTAATTCTCCTTTACTTTTATATTTTTAAAAATTGGGCTTCATTTCTAATCTTGCTTACGGGTAGTGCTGACATTTTATATCCTTGGATCAATGTTTTTTCCTAAACCTGATTGATGATGAGGCCTACCTGGGGTGTTTGCTAAATTATAGCACCCAGGCTCTTCCCTCCTGTAGGTTCTGATTCCATATTTCTGGGGTGAGTGCTAGGATTCATATTTTAAACAAATATACAAGGTAATCCCTATGTTTAAGAAATACTGCCTTAGCTATTGTAAAAAAAATTCGAGGCTTACCAATGAAAAGAGACACTTTTAATGTTCAAATACATTGCATTTTGTTTCTGGACYAGTTTTAGGTTTTAAACTACTATTTTTAGCAGTATATCATTTGTAAAAAAGATGATTCGATCCAGAATAACATTAAAAACATCTAAAAAATGTCTAAAACAATCTCAAACATCATCAATCATCAACCTTTTTATATGCTTCATCTTATACCAGCAGTGGCTCAGACACAATTTACTGCCATTAACCTCTTGAAAGTATTGCAAAATTCAGACCAGATGCTCTTTTAGGGCAAGTTCAAGTGTCTTCAGTTGGGTCGTTTACTTGGAATAACCACAAAGCCAGAGTCCTCTGGGATCAGAAAGTAAAATGTTGCTTTCTCTAGAAATCAGCTACCCAGCGGACAATAGTCCCAGTTAGCGCTGCAGTTGCTCAATCAGGCTGATCTTTTTCGCTGAGCCAGGCCTTGCTTTAGGTTGAGAAAGCCTCCGCCTCTTTGCTATGGTTTTTTTTTTKTTGTTGTTTTTCCAGAGCCTTGGATAACTTTGAAAGGCTGTGTCCTAAGATTACTGTTAAGATGCTTGTCAATTTTTGAAACTCATTGTGTGAGAAACTACTTGCATTACCCTCTGCTTGCCAATTTGTTCAACTTTGGGGAAAGATATATAGAAGTTAAATTTGAATGTGGGAAACTGAAAGCTAAGAGCTCTTTTTGGAGAGGTGATGACATTCATTGGTGGTTTTTACTGGGCCAACATTGAAATGGATATGATGGCGAGATGTGTATTCCATGCTCCCTTGACTACTGTGTGTGCTGTGATATAGCCAGAGACAACTAAGCAGCCTCTACTTATCACTTGTGTGCTCTAGGCACACAAATATCTACTATCTCTGTTTCAGAAGTAAAACCTTCATGGCTTGTTGACTACAGTTAAGGATCCAGGAGAAATATAACAACATTCAGATGATTGCTCCTAAATGCATTTGTGTTCTATTAGTTTGGTCATTATTCTTTTACAAAGACTAGAAATTGGGATGTTTTTGGTCATAGGGAGGCCTGAACTTTTGCACAAATACAGTATAAAGGAGGAGGATATGAAAAAGGCAAATGTTTGTATTGCTTGTAATAAATTCTTGTCTCTAGATGTCATACAGCGTAACTCCTTTGTGGTTTGAGATTTAGACATCAAGATACTACTAATCTGATATGACTTTGACTTTCATGACCTTTACCACAAGGAAAATCCTTCTGTTCATTTTTCATTCATTTGTTCCAACAAATACTTGCTTACCACGTGCTAGGCACTAGGTTGTAAAGGTGAATGGGATTAATAAATGAAATCTCTTATGTAACCTCTCATCCATTCTTAGGCTGCTATACATTTCTCTTTCATTTTTTTTTTAAATTTCGGTTTTTCTTATAAAGGAAATATGTTCTGGTTGTAATTGAAAGGGTAAAATATTGCAGAAATAGATAATAGCTAACATGTATAGAACACTTATTGTGYCAGGCATTGTTAAAAGTACTTCCTATATGTACTATATGTTATTTCAATTACTATTCATAACAATCCTATAAAAGAAGTGCTATTATTCCCTATTTGCTGGGAGGTTTAAGTCTCTTGGTTAAAATTTCAGAGCTGGGATGTGGAGGAGCCTGGGTTCCACAGCCACTCAAGGACTGGGTGGATTTGAGTGTGCAATTCTATTGACATCACATTACAAATCTTCCCTGCTTAGAGCCTGAGAGCCATCAATGGAGAACCTTAGGCTAAGACAAAGTGCAGTAGGAAGCCAGGTGGACACAGCTTATTGCAGAAGTCATGTCAGCCCTTATCGGCTCCTACTAATAAGCTTTGGATTTGATTAAAATAATATTGTTGCTTACACTAAACATGGCATTTTCTTTCTTTTACACACATGAAACTAGCCCTGACATTTAACTCCAGGATAATTGCCTTTATCAGGCCCAGAGACTCAGAAGTGTTGCCTTGGCTGGCATTTATCTTACTCCAGAGTGACCTGGGTTTGTAATTCTAATGAGAGTGCAAGGACCAGCCTACGCTCTTTTTTCCTTCTGGTGCATACCCTGTGGAATTCGGTGGTCTCTGTAGCAGAACTGGGGTGGCAGCAAGCATCAGATCTGCTCATTTGATCTTAGCATCTCAGCTATAATGAGTTTCAAGGGCAAGTGGAGCTTATTGATAGAACAGGGGCTGGCTCAGTTGGTGGGGCTGATTACAAGAGAGGTGGTATGGCTTAGTGGATCAGTCATTAATCTGTCACCACAGAAACTCAGCTTGTAATGGAGAGTAGCAGAAAATCATTTTGATTAAACAGGTTCAAGGAGACTTAAATGAGTCTGTGATCCTGACTCTCTTTAATGAACCCACTATCTTAAATCYCTTGTACCAGATGACCACTGATAGAAAAAATTATTTCACAGAGATCCTTATAAAGGGACAATTTGAAAGTGGATAGGCCTAAGAGCATTCTTGTCTTTTCTGTCCTTACCTTCAGTTCTCCCTTGCCAGAGAAAAGCTAGGTCTTGCCTGGTAGGTGTGGTAGAGCTTTTTGCCCCAGTTGACCTTCTCAGGCGGAATGCCCTCTCTCTCCTGGGTCTCCTCAACCCCACAGGATTTCAGCTGGACTGCGTTGCTGGGAGGATAAGTACTTCCCTCTCTGCTGATGAGGCTGTTTTTAAAACCAAGAAGTGGCTCCAAGTGGATAATTGGACCTATAATATTCCCCTAGAGCAATGGGACCTAATCATTAGCTCAACTATTTTATCTTGCTTGAGACAAAGTAATGTTAGTAATTAAATATTTTRTAACACATCATTTCTTATTTATTTACTCAATAT